GGCGCCGCCCCAGGCGCGCTCCGCGCGCAAGGGAGGGGGGTCCAGCGCAGATCCAAGAACTCCGCGCGGAGCGCCAAAAGTTTATGTTTATGGCGTTTTTTCTTCTTCGACCTCGCGCGGCGCGCGAGCGTCATCGCCGGCGCAGCGATGGATGGCCTCCCCGAGGCGGCGCAGGCGGCCAATCGAGGCGTGGCCGAGGTGCCGGCCGCCCTCGACGGCGGCGGCGGCAGCGGCGGTGGCGGCGCCGCGGGCGGCCTCGCGGCCAGACGCGCCGGCTGCCTGGCGTCGGCGGCTGTGCGAGGCGCTGCGCCGACGACGACGACGCCGCCGCCGACGACGACGACGTCGACGACATATCACGCGAGGCCCAACGGCCTCCGCAGCGGCGCGCGCCGGCGCGAGACGCCGCGCGGGAGCTGGAGGCTGGGGGCGGCAGCGCCGCTCAGGCCCCCCCATCGAGTCGAGGCTCGTCAACTTGGAGGTCCTCCTCCACGAGGTGCAGCGGGGTGCGGGCTTCGAAGGGGAGCCTGGCGCCGCTGCGGCGAAGGCAGCCATGCGCGAGCGTGGAGCCCAGGGCGTCGCCTCGCGACTGGGCAAGATGAGCAGGCTCCGCAGTTCTGGGGGGCACCCGGACGTGCGGCTGCTGCTGGACATCCGAAGCGTGTGCATGGAGGCATCCCCCGATGAGCACGTGCAGATGAAGTCGAAGCACGCCGTCGTGAAGGTGAGGCAGATCGAGGCGCTGGTGCAGGCCAAGGTCGGCAACGACCCGCTCCCCGTGAAGTCCTTCGGCCTCAAAAGCTCGAGGACAAAGAGCATGGAGCCGCAGGCGATGGAGATGGCAGCCCCTGTGCCCAGCAGAACGGGGCGGCCATCAGTGAGATGATGCATGGGGAGGTCTCGGAGCTGAAGGTGGATCGGCGGCCACATATGAACCCTGACCCCCGCCCCCTGCGATTTCGAAGGGAGGGTGGGGGTTCATTTCGTTCGGGAGGTCCCGAGTCGTGGGGGGTGGAGGCAGGGCTCACGTGTGACCACCCAGCGGAGCTGGCGGCAGAGACGGCAGCCAGAGCGGCAGCGACACCCGAAGCGGGGCAGCTGCGGCAGCAAGCCGTGACTTTGCACACCAGGCTGGACACACAACGCGGCCTTCCTTAGTGGGCTCCGGAAACGGCAGGGCCGTTTTTTCACCGTTTCCGAAAAAGTGTCTCTGGAAAATGGAAACGGAAAAAAAAAACGGCGACCGGAAACAGCGAAAACACGGCTCCAGGATTGGAACTGGAGCAAAACCCGGCAAAACAGCGACGACAAACCCGGCAAAAAAACGGCGTCGAAACTGGCAACAAAAACGGCAGAACGGAACCGATAAACAAAAACGGCCCTGTCGTTTCCAGGGCCCACTAAGAACGCGGCAGTGGCCTCCGAATCTAACCGCATGGTCGCAAGGCTCGGATGCGAGCTTGAGGCCGTGCGGGTAGCCTAGGTCGGGTATGTCCTCCTACAGGCGGATGCTGGGCGAAAAATGAAAAATAACCAACACATGCTCACGCATATGTAGAAACAATATAAAAAAAACATCGTCCCCAGAATGCTTCTTCTTACAAGAAAATGCATTTTTGAATATTCCTCCTGCAGAGGGACATGCCCGACTTGAAGGTAGCCCTGACTTCGGCGACCACTGGCGGCGCGCAGGCGGGCGCAGCAGGCCGCGGCGCTGGAGCCCAAGCAGCCATCGGAGGGCAGGGCCGGCCACGAGGAGCCTCCGCGTGGCCCTCGCCGAGGCCGACGCCGAGCGGGAGGCTGGACGAGGCAACGAGCCACGCCGCCGAGGCCTGCCACGGGGCCCTCGACCCGGCTCGGGGATCTGACCCGGGTCAATCCAGGCCCGGGTCCGTCAGGCCTTGCAGAGGTCTGCAAGATCCTGCGCCCCAGCCCGGGGCAATGCGAAAGATCCTGCAGGATCCTGCGCCTCAGCCTGGGTCAATGTGACCCTGGCCCTGCAGGATCCTGCAAGATCGGGCGCTCTGGCTGACCCCCGCTTGCATCGACCCCTGTCTCAGGGCTCCCGGCTGGCGCGGGAGGCGGTGGCGCCGGTGGTGGCGCCTCGCCTGGGTCGGCGCCGAGGCCGACGAGGCCGAAGAGGCGCCGGGAGGCTGCGGTGCGCCGAGGGGCCGTGCACTCGGGGGCCGGCGGCGGCGCGCACAGCGAGCCCGGACCGAGGAGGCCGAGGAGCCGAGGCGCACAGGGCGCCTGCCGCGGCGGCTGGGGCGCCGGGTCGTCGCATTCCTCGTCGGCTCGGCTGCAGGGCTCCGCCAGCGCCGGCGAGGGGGGCGAGGCACTGTCAGAGGGTCGCTGGGAGAAGACGCGTTCGGTCGGCAGCGGCCAGAAAATTCGCCTCGGCGTCGCCCCCCTTTCCCCGCGTTCGCCTTCCTCTGGTCCTCCCGCTTCTCTTCCGACCCTGCTGCTGCCGCTGCTGCTGCTGCCGATCGTCCTCCTCCTCCTCCTCCTCCTCCTCCTCCTCCTCCTCCTCCTCCTCTTCCTCCTCCTCTTCCTCCTCCTCCTTCCCTTTCCGCCTGCTCATTCGCCACCTTCTTCTGCAATGTGCGCAGATCCCCTTTTTTTCCGATTGCGCACAGCACGACGAGGTGCGTTTTGGAGTCCCAGGTCGCCATGACACGCGTCGGCAGATAGAGAAGAAATCAGCGCAATGGGGAAGGATGGGTGGTAAAGGTCGGATGTCAGATACAGCGTGAGCGCAGCTAGCTTGCCCTGATCCTCTTCTCTCCCTTCCCACTCATCCTCCTCCTCATCAACATCTGCATCCTCATCATCCCTCGTCTTCTTACTCCTCCACCTCCTCGAACTACCTCGTTCAACACCATTATCCTCCTCCTCCTCGTCCTTCCTCCTTGTCATTCCCTCCACCCTCCTCCTCCGCTGTCCTCCCTCCTACCCTCGTCATTCATGTAATCCCCCTCCATCCTCCCACCGGCACCTCCTTGCCCGCCCTCCCTCATCGTTCCTCCTCCTCCTCCTCCTCCTCCTCCTCCACCTCCTCCTCCTCCTCCTCGACCTCATCCTCAATTAACCCCCCCTTCAGCTCCTCATCCGCGCTCCTCATCCTTCATATGGCCGCTGGTGCTCATCGTCATCATCCCCGTCCAACTGCCCAACCTCACTATCCCGCTCCTCCCTCATACCCCCCTCCTCGACACCTGCCCGCCCCTCCCTCCTGCTGGCTCCCTCCTCGCTCCTCCCTTCTCCCTCCTCCCTGCCCCCTCCTCACTCCTCCCTTCATATCCTGCGCCCCCCGCCTCCTAATCACTCTTCCCTCCGCCTTCGCTCGTCCTAGCGCCATCCTGCCATGGCGCTACCTCCTCCTTCTGCTTGCACGCTGCATGCCATCGTACAAATCATTAAAAAAACATGATCCCTGCTCACTCCTGCTCCTCCACCTCTTCCTCCTCCTCATCCTCCTCTTCATCCTCCTTCTCCTCCCCTTCTCCTCCTCCTCCTCCTCCTCCTCCTCCTCCTCCCTCCATTTTCACTTCCACCTCCCCCTCCACCTCCCTCATCCCGCAATTCACTCAGTCACCCCTCGACCTTACCTTCCTCCCTCCACCATCTTCCTGTTATCCTCCCTCATCGTCATCACCATGAGCAACTTATTCGTCCTCGTTCTCGTCTTTCTCATCGCTTTCACCAAAGTTCGCCTCTTCGCCCTTCTCCTCATACCCCACATCTTTCTCCTCCTCCCCCTCCTCCCCCTCCTCCTCCTCCTCCTCCTCCTCCTCATCCTCATCCGCCTGCTCCTCCTTCTCCTTCTCCTTCTCCTCCTTTTCCTCCTCCTCCTCCTCTTCCTGCTCCTCCTCCTCCCTCATACCTCGTCAGCTCCCTGATTCCTCCTAATATGTTCTCCCTTCTCCCTCGTCCTTCTTGTCATTTTTCCTGCTTCCTGCCTGCACCACCTCCTTGCCCCACCTCTCACACGCCCTCCCTTGAACGCACCTTCATTACGCTCCTCCTCCTTCTCTTCCTCCTCCTCCTCCTCGTCCTCGTCCTCATCACCATCACCCTCAACATCATCATCACCATCATGAGCATCATCATCATCATCATCATCATCAACATCATCATCACCATCAACATCATCATCCTCATCATCCGCCTTATCCTCATCCTCACCCATCATCAGCTCTCCCCGTCTCATCCGCCTCATCCGCCTCATCCTCATCACTCCTCTTCTATCACCATCAGCATCATCAGCAGCATCAGCATCAGCATCAGCATCATCATCATCACCATCAGCATCGTTGTCGTCGTCAGCAGTATCATCATCAACAACCTTACCATCATCAGCATCATCATCACCATCGTCATCGTCATCGTCATCGTCATCGTCATCATCACCGACATCAGCATCAGCATCAGTTGCATCAGCATCAGCATCAGCATCAGCATCATCAGCAGCAGCATCAGCATCAGCATCAGCAGCAGCATCAGCATCAGCATCAGCATCATCATCATCATCATCATCATCATGCCATCATCATCACCATCATCATCACCATCACCATTACCATCATCATCATCAGCATCATCGTCATCATCATTATTATTATTATTATTAGTATCATCATTATCATCATTATTATTATTATTACTATTATTATTAATATTCGTATTATTATTGTTAGTATTACTATTATGTATTATTTATCATCTATTATTTATTATTTATTTATTATTAGTAGTATTATTAGTATCTGCCTCATCCGCCTGATCCTCAGTTGCGCCTCCCTCCTCCATCCCCACTCCTCTTTCTCCATTTGTTTTTGGAGTGGGGGTGGGGGGCGCTGGTGCTCCTCGTACTGCACCTCAGCATCGCCGTCCTACGACTCGTCCTAATCCACCTCACTACCTCGCTCCTCCCTGGCCCCCCCCCTCCTCCTCGCCCTCCCCCAAGCGCACGGGGACCCGTGGCGAAACAGAAGCCCTGCCTGCTTACCAGGCTGGACGGCCTCCGCCGCGCTGTACGTCTCGTGGAATGTCGATGCGTCTATCACGCAGACCTGGGTCTTTCCGTGCGGTGCTGGCGATCTCTTGGGGGCGCCAGTGGGGGCGGTGGGGAGGCGGAGGAGGGGTAGGACTATCGAAAGAAACAAAGTGGGGGGGACGCCAGTGGGGAAAGAGGGGGTCGTCCGAGAACGCACGGGTCATCCGCCAACGCACGGTCAACAGCTTCGCTGGGGGTCCATGTCAGTTCCCTGTCACCCTGCTGCTGTCGCCGTGCACAGTGTCTTCCCAGATCAGAGGGGGCCTACCCATCCTGCCCCTTTGGGGCAGGCATGAACTGAGAGCCCGGCAATTCCGGCGAGGAACACCCGCTTCATGACGGGCTCGCCCCTCCGCGCCATGGCCTGGTTCCGTCGGGGGCGGGGGGCTGCAGCAGGGGGGCGCGGGAAGGGCGGAAGGGGGGATGCGGCGGAAGGGGGAAGACTGAGGAGGAGGACAGGGCACCACTGCCACGCCGGGGGGGGGGGGGCGGCGGAACATGAGAAGGAGGAGGCCCGCCGAGGTTTCGCCTGGTGCCCAATCGGTGGCGGGTCGTGGGGTCCCCGTGCGCTGGGTGGGTCCGCCAGGGTTTCGCTCAGTGCCCGACCATCGGCGGTGAGCGAGGGGGGGAGGCATGCAAAAGCGCCCCATACCCTGGGTGACAAGTGCGCGGTCCGTAGACCTCCTGGGAGCTCCGAAGGGCCAGAGAGCCGCCAGGACGCCGCGCGACACGCGCCATATGCAGGGTTTACCCTGTCAGCCGACAGGAGGTTCAGCGCACAGCGCCTCGTAAACCAGGGTAGGGGCGTTTTTAACGCCCAGGGGGTGAGAAGGAGAAGGCCTTTTCAGAAGGCGGCGGGGCTTCTCAGAAGGCCTCGGGCCTCCTGGCACACTCTCGGTGTCCTCGGGAAGGCTTGTGGGACACCTTCTCGGAAGGCCGGGGGGGCTCCTGAGCCCTCCGAGGAGGCCCGCCCCCTCTCGCCTCACCCCCCCGAGCTCGCCGCCGAGCTTCGTGGCCAGTCGCGGGCGCCCCGTCTTGAGCAGGGACCGACCGGCCCGGCATTCCTATAGTCCTACCACGAAATGTTCTTAGAACCCAAAAATGTTCGAATCACAAAAACAATGTTCTTAGAACATGAACCCGATGAGCTCAAACAAGACAGACTCCGCCAGACATGCTCTGAGGACATTTCATGGAGACCACAAGAGGCTCTTAGAACATTGCTTAGTAGGGCTATAGGAGAGCCAGGACGCTTCGCCACTGCCTAACCGTCTTCGGGAGCGGCCAAGAGGGGGGTGTCCAAGAGGGGGGGGTGCAAATCATGACGGCGGCATGTGCGCCGCCCAGCGGGGGGGGCAGGGACGTAATGAAATAAGAAGAGGCGCCATGAAATCTGCGGAAATACCATGGCCGCCGCAATGATATCCACCCCCCTTAGTCATCACCCCCCTCTTGTCCGCCCTCGACGTCTGGGTGGGTCCGCCAGCGCTCCGACCGGTGCGCGGACGGGGGCGCCTCGAGGGCGCCTTGCGCGCGCCGGCTGCGTGCCCGCCGCAGTGCCGCGCGGTGGCCGCCCGCGGGCTCGCCTCGTGGGCTCGCCCCGTGCGCTGGGCAGGTCCGCCCAGGGGCTCGCCTGGCGCCCCCGCGTGGCCGCCCGCGGGCTCGCCTCGTGGGCTCGCCCCGTGCGCTAGGCAGGTCCGCCTACAGTCGGGGCGTTGACCTAAGGAACCCTAAATAAGGAACGAGGCCCTCCTCTTCCATAAGTTAAACTTCGATTTCCCATGCAAAAGCCTGAGGGAAACCCGAGGCAAACTGTGAAACGATCAAGGAACACCGAGCCCCTGCCCAACGAAAAGCGTTCCTTCTTCAGGGCCCCGACTGTAGGGCTCGCCAAGTGCCCGGCGTCGCGGCACGCCGAGGACCGCAAGAGGCCTCCTCCGCGCGCAGGTTCGCTCGGGACGCCGAGATGGCCCGGGAGGTGCAGGAGAACGACGACGGGGCGGAGCGCTGCGCCTCCAGCTCCCTGGCGATGTTCTCCGGCTCCGCCACGCCCGAGCACTCGACCACGAGGCGGTCCCAGCCGCGGTCAAGCTTCGAGTTGCCCGTGCTCTCGACCAGATCCTGGCGGCCTTCCTCCTCCTCCTCCTCCTCCTCCTCCTCCTCCTCCTCCTCCTCCTCCTCCTCCTCCTCCTCGGCTCGACCCCCCTGAAGTCCAGCCAAACTGCGTCCACCATCGTGTGTGTTTCCTCGCCCTCCCTCCCTCTCTCTCTCTCTCTCTCGCTCTCAGCATTCCACTGCGGGCGTGAACACAGGAGGAAGGAGGAGGAGGAGGCGGAGGAGAAGGAGGAGAAGGAGGAAGCTGAGGAGGAGGAGGAGGAGGAGGAGGAGGAGGAGGCAGGAGGGCGGGGAGGGGAAGAAGGGCGACCCGCCGCCGCCGCCCGGCCCGCGGCCCGCCCCGCCCTCGGCCTACCCACGCCCGCCTGGCCCGCAGCCCGGGCGCCCCGCGCCGCCCTGCCGCGCACGGGCTCGCCGCAGGGCCGGCAGTGCTGAAGGGGCCCACAAACACGCACACACACACACACACGCACACACACACACACACACACACACACACACACGCACACACACACACGCACACACACACGCACACACACACACACACGAATACACACACGCACACACACACACACATACATAAATACATACAAACAGAGAGATCCCCAATATTTGTCCCATAGTTTCTGGGTTTTTGTCTTCCCCCCCACTTCCCATAGTTTCCCATCTTTTCCTGGGGATCGACGATGAATTGTGTCTGTGTGTTTCTTTCCCTCCTGAGATGCGGTGGGCGCCGCGTCGGTCGGTCGGTCGGTCGGTCGTCGGGGGCGGGCGATCTCCGTGGGCCTCTCGGGGCCGTCTTGGGCGCTCTCGAGACCGAGGGGCCCGATTCGTTCGCGGGCCCGTTGGCTTTTCACGGACTTCGGGCCCTCGGGCCGGCCTTCAGCCCAAGGCCAGCCGCGCGCTGGTCAGCGCCACCGCCAACGTCGGCGGCGAGCGAGGGGGGGAACTGAGAAGGAGGAGGCCTTCTCAGAGGGCGGCGGGGCTCCTCGGAAGGCCCCACGCCTTCCGAGAAACTCTTGTGTTCCTGACTACCTACCAGACCACCCCAACCCAACCCGAAGACCCGAATTCCGGGCTGGGGGGTGGTAAGGGTTCCACATGTAAGTGTTTTTTTATGTGTCCCGACACCCCCCCACACTGGAAATCGAGGGTAAATCTGAGCCTTCGGGTTGGGTTAGGGTGGTTTGGTGGGTGGTGAGTTTCTGCTCCCCTCCCCACGCTCTTCGTGCCCTCCTCGTGCCCTCCGCTGGCAGCCGCACCCTCGCGGCTGCGCTGCGCGCGCGCGCGCTCACGCACGCGGCCGCCCCTCCCGGAGGCCACGGCGCCGCGGGGCAGCGGGGGCTGTAGGACGGCGCCTCGCGCCGCCGGCGCCGCGACGCGCCGAGGCCACGGGCCTCGGACACAAATACATCACACGCGCCTTCCCCACAGATGAATCCCTGTGGGCGGGGATAAAAAAATACATAGAGGGGGTTAAGGGGGGGGGCACCTTCCTTATTGCCCGCACTCGGTCAGCGAGCACGCATGCCGCGCGCATCGGCCCACGCCCTCCCCCCCCTGCCCCCAGTGCTCAGAGCCGGCGACGGGCCTGACGAGCTGCACTTCGACCGCAGTCCCCCCCGCTCCGTGCCGACTCTGAGCTTGGGGGGAGCGGGGGAGCGTCCACTAGTTCTGCGGATGCCATGACAAAGGACACCCTCACAACCCAATCGTTGAATTAAAAGATGTGTGAAACATCTTCTACAACGGATTAAAACCTGTGTTTGTTGCATGCTTAAGACAGGCTGAAAACATGTTTGAAACATCTGGAAATTATTTGGCAGCATGCTTCCTCTCCGTTGATCGTCGTCCACAACACTACGTAGTTGCTTCCCCCTACCGTTAGGTCGGGCCTGTCCCCCTAACAGGGGGATCTTGGACGAAAAACTAAGAATACCCAAAACATACTCAAAAGATGCCCACAAATACTCAGAAAATACTCCCCTGACTATTTTTTGTCAATTTTTGTATATGCCTCCTGTAGGTGGACAGGCCCGCCTTCAGCGCAGACCGACCAGGCTCAGCGCAGACCCGGCTCGGCCGGTTGGCAGAAGCACTGCGCTGCTCTGCGCTGCAGCTCTTTTTTCTGTTGCGGGGGGGGGGGGGGGCTACTCCAGCCGTGCCCCGGGCGTTTTCTTAGCGCTTCCAGCTCGGCGTCTTGGACATCATTGCTTATTTTGATTCTTCAGGTCTAAACAAAAATTTGAAAGTTTCGAACAATACTAATACTAAAAATGATAATACTGTTTTTTAAACGAAAAAAACATTATGCGTTGTTCTAGCGTTTTCAGACCGGTGCTTTAGCGCCTGAAGCCTGAAAACGCAACAGCAACCACAGCCCTGAAAACGGTACAAAAAAGCGTAGCGTGTTTTGGGTTGTTAGATTTTCAGCCTGTCAAAAGCCCAAAGTAGAAAACGCTTATACATACAGATCTATACACACAAGACTGCAGTATCGCTTCGCGCCATGCACCTTGGTCCTTGAAGTTTGTTATGCAGGCGGAATAGAAGGAAGGTCAAACCGACCATTTAGCGATAACTTCTTGTTGCCTGCTTCCGGCATCGCCGCTATAAAAATGTTATTCGTTATCCTTCCTCCATGCTTCTTTTTCTTCATTTTCGCCATACCCGGCGCATTCTCCCCATCCTCCTCAGCCTTTTTTTGCGGGGATTCCTCCTTGGAGAGCCTCGGGGGGCCTCACAACAGTTGTTTCAAGCTTTCTTAAGGCCTTCTGGAGGCCTCCTGGGCGTATTCTGGAGGCCTCTAGGGGCTTCCTCGGGCCACCCTGCCTCCAACCGCGGTCTCCATGAACGACTGGGTCACGATTTGGAATGCTTCGGAGGGTGTCTTGGGGCCACCTTGGGCCGCCATGGGGCTCTGTGAGGGCCATCTTAGACCCGTGTTGTGCCGTTTGGGGGCTCTCTTGGATTGCCTGGAAGCCCTTTCGGATGGTTGTGGGGCGATTTTGGAGCCTCCCAGGCGGCTTCGGACGCCCAGAAGACCGCCGTCTTGGAGCGTCGGGAAGCCGAAAAGAGGAGAACCCCAAAATTCACCAAAAAACCAACAGAAGATCAATTAATTTTGCCTCGTGGGGTCTTCTTGGGAGTGCTCTTGGAGGCCTCTTTGGGGCCGTCCTGGAGGCCTCTTGGGCCACATTGAGGTCACGTCGGTCACCCTTGGAGCGCTCGTGTGCTGTCTTGGGGTTCTCTGGGAGTCTCCGAGGACCCCCCTGATCGCCCTAGGTGTGCTGCGAAGGCTTGGCAAAACGCCCTGCGAGGCCCGGGGGACCGCTTCGAGGCCCGTCCGGAAGGTCCCAAAGCCCCAGATCTCGGGAGTCCGGTTTTGGGGGGGGGTCCCCCCGCCCGGGCTTATACAAATATAGGAAGAGGAATAATCATATACATATGTGTATATATATAAATATGTATATATATATATATATATATGTATATATGTAATCAACGCCCAGGGCGTTTTGAAGGCGTATGGCCACCTCCAGGGCCGCGAGCGGCTCCCGCGCCCGGCTCAGCCAAACTCTAGCTCAAGCCGTGCGGCGACCTCGAAACCCCAAGAGCCCTCGCCGCACGGTCAGTCACAGTCTCGCTCCGCTCCCCTCTTCTCCGCTCTCCCCCCCCCTCACAGACCGATCGACAAAGCAGTGGGGTGAGAGGAGGAGGAGGAGGAGGAGGAGGAGGAGGGAGGAGGAGAGAGGAGGAGGAGGAGGAGGAGGAGGGGAGGGAGGAGGAGGAGGAGGAGGAGGAGGAGGAGGAGGAGGAGGAAAAGGAGGAGGAGGCGGAGGAGGAGGAGGGGGAGGCCCCGATAATTACCCTGCGACATCCTGGGAAAACGGCCCACGTCCACAAGCCGTACGGCCACCCCTGGATTTCCACAAACACACACACACACACCACACGGCATGGTCACCACGCCGCCCGGGGGCCCCGCGAGCAGCTTCGCGCCCCTTGCAGGTGGTCATGGAGACGGCTGCGCTGCGTCCTGCAGGCGCGCGAAGAGGTCGTCGCGCCCGGAGCAGCACGCGCACCCGTTCTGCAGTCCCACTATGCCGTCGGCGTCCTCGGGGCCGGCAGGGGGCAAAGTCTGCGGGGGGTCGTCGAGAGTCCCCATCGGCGGACGCGCTCAGGCGCCTTCGGAGGTGATTTGGAGACTCTCAAAAATATCTCGGCGTTCCTGGAGGTATTCTGGGCTTTGGGGAAGATTTCGGAAAAGGTGTTCGGGTGCTCGTGGGGGTTTCATGTGGTTCCTGGAAGGCGTTCAGAAAATTCCAATTTCGCGATTCTGCAAGGCTTTCGGAGCAGCGCGGAGCTTCCAAGCAACCTGCGCCTCGTCGAGCCGGGGCTCCAAACCCGTCCGACGGGCCCTTCTCGGCCCTGTCGCCGTCCGAGCCCATTCGGCCATAAGCCTGGGGCAACCTCCAGGAAGATGTTTGAGCAAGCGCTGAGCGAGCGCTCCACAGCCTGAGAAAAATCCCTCACCATCTTTTGGACATTCTCTGTGCATTTTCAGCTCCGTGCGTTCCCAGACATACGGACGGCTGCTCCAACTTTTTTCGATGCGTGGGCCCCGGAGGCCTGGACCACCTCCCTGGGGCCGGTTGTTCGTCCCGAATGGGTTTTTGACGGTCCCGAGGCCCGGCGAGGGCCCCCAGAGTTTGAAAGCGGTCAAAACCCCCCGCTCTTTCTATTTTTGTAGCATCGGATCTCTGGGTTCATTTCTTCGCAAGGTGCTCAGAGATGCTCCCATGGGGGTCCTCGCCCAGACACAAAAGGCACACGTCCGAGCGATGCCACGATCCTGGGCCAGGGGTGCTGGGAACAACGGAGGCGCGCCACGCCTCCGACGTGTGGATGTCGGGTGGTCTCCGCGTGCCTCCGTAGGCCCAGGAGTACCCCAGACAGACGCAGCTCCTCCTCCTCCTCCTCCTCCTCCTCCTCCTCCTCCTCCTTTTCCCTCCCCCTCCCCCCCTCCCCCTCCCCCTCCCCCTCCCCTCCTCCTCCTCCTCCTCCTCCCCCTCCTCCTCCTCCTCCTCCTCCTCCTCCTCCTCCTCCTCCTCCTCCTCCTCCTCCTCCTGAGGGCAACTACATAAGGGAGCCCGGGTGGGTGCACGACACTGGATGGCAACTAACTATGGTGAACCCCTGCGTTGCACGCCCCATGGGAGCCACACGAGGCGGCACTGAAGGTTAGAACATGGATGGGGCCAGGTCAAGCTAAGAAAACTACGAAAGATAAGTCTGCTAGTGATTGCTGTCACATAAGAGCAGGCGCGAACGTACTTTAGTGGCGAGAGCAGCGCCAAAGACAAGACAGAGGCAACGGACAGCATTGAGGGCGGCGTGGAAAGGATGCGATCGCCGACGACGAAGGAATTCTCGTCATTCCTCCGTCATGCAAGAGAAGCCCAGCGCCGTTTTGCGCCCCCTTGCGGGGAGTTGCGGAAAGTCCGGCAATCCCCGAATCATGCAACAAACAAATCCTGCACCCCCCTTGCAATCCTGCCATCCCCAAGCCCATTCTTGTCATTGCCCTATCATGCAAAACGCATCCTTGCCCCACTCACGGCGCCGCTTTGCGCGGGCACACGAGCCCTGCGCGGGACAGGTACGGTAGGGCAGCGCTCCGGCAGACCCCCCCGATGGGGCGCAGCAACGGGGCGACGGCTGCTGCACGCCTGGCCACGAGGTCTCCTCTCGGATCCGCGCGGGCCGTCCCTCCGGTGGACACCCCAGAGCCCTTGCCGTCGCTCGGACGTCCATCTCCCGTGCATTTTTCGGTTTCGTGCGTGTTTTTTTTTCCTCGATGGTCCAGGATGGTCCTCGAGGGTCCTCGCCGAGAAAAAAATACACGCGTCCGAGCGATGCCAGGAGCCTCTGGGCGCAGCAGAGTGGCGACAGTGGCGCCTGGCAGTGCCCACATGCGCCCAGCGACGTGGAAGGTGAATGTCTCGTCGAAGTCCCCGTCATTGCGAAGACGTCACTCCGCTGAACCCCCGCTACGAGACGCAGCAGTGCAGCGTCACTCGCACGCTGGGCGGCATCCAAGGGAGGGCGGGGGCTACAACCATCGTGCTCCTACAAGGAACACGGAATCAAGACCGGAAAACAACTTTTCTGGCCATGGGGAGCCGCCGCTTCAGATAGGTTCCCCAACCTGGATCTGAGGAACGGTCCAGAAACCATAGCCCCTGCTGAGCCCGAAACGAAGTGGTCCTCATCGTGATCCACCGAAGAATGGGTGACCCTTAGGGGGGGCATGAATTCGATCCGTTGGTGCACCAAACTGCCGCAAAAATGCCCCCCCTCGCATGCCCCACTGATCGACAACTATCGGGAGCTGCCGGCGGCTGGGGGGCATTTGTTTTGGGCGGCTCGGTGAAAAACCGTTCGAACTCTCTCTCTCTCTCTCTCACACACACACACCCGGGCACACCCACCCTGTTTGCGGGAATCCAACTTATTTCATATACTTTCAATGTTTTGACTTAAGTTTGGGTCCCCATGCGACATCATTCCAATGGACCCCACACAGCCGCGACAAACTGCCGAACGTTGAAAGCTGGGCAAGGCCGGGGGGAGGACGGAATCCAACTTGGGTCCCCGTGAGACGTCGGTCCGCTGAACCCCCCCAGATCCACACCAAGTTCTTGTTCTGGGAAGAGCGGGGCGAGAGAAAACGGATGGCGCTTGATAAAATTGGAGGAGTGCGAAGCGGCAAAAGAAGGAGGCAGGATGAGCTCGCTTGCTACCCCCCACTCTGACATTTCCCTTACTCATGGACCGTTCTGTTTACGCGTGGCGAGCCTGGGCGGGGAAACCACGCGAGAGAGCTACGCCATTTCCCTGTGTGCCTCCGGAATCTCGACGCGCTGCCAAAGCTGGGCTGAGTTCGCTTGGCTGGCACTCAGAGAGGGAGCTGGGCCCTCTGGCACCGGCAACCATCCTGCTCGAACAGACCGCAAGGCAACTGCAGCATGCGCTGATCCTTGGTCGCGGTGCCAAGCTCACCAGCTCACCTTAAAACCTTCGTGCATACTGCGCTGCTGTTCACAGCTTCTTGCTCTTCACAGATCTTGACCGCACCTTATGCCAGCCGTCGGAGCTGCCGATCATCCGATGTCCAGTACGCGTGCAGCGCAATATCCACACAAACACAGCACGTAGCACATGCATGCCCCCCGGAATGTGCTGCCACCCCGGATGTCTGCCAACCGTGCCGAAATAAATTGAAAAAGCGTCGCTGCATGAAACATTTGATGCCCACGCACCTGGGATAAGTAAGTCAGAAGACAGCTCGCCGCTTGGTCCCCACCACGAGCCAAAGCGGCGAGCATACATCAGTAGCCCCGTGGAGCTGTCAGGGGATGCGCCATCCATGGAATGGGCCATGGATCGTGCCAAGGGGTGCAGAATCATGAATTTGCAACATACTTTGCGCCATGTGTTTTGCCATGCTTGGGTTGCGCCATGGGCCATAGGTTCCGCCATAAGTTACGCACTCGGTTGCCGAACTATCACGACCTGCGATAAGTTGTGTCATCATCCGGTGACTTGCTATTGCTGTTGGCTACGGCGTAGGTAGCGGTATGGGCTGCCGAACATAAACAAAACCAGTCTGCTTTTGGCTACGCCAAAGATTGCGAACTCGCCCTGGGCCTGCACTTTGGTTGGGGCAGAGATCATGCACTCGGCCGCCGGATATAAAACGGCCTGGTGTTGACTTCGCCTCAGAATGCGCAGCGGGCCGCTGACCACAAAACGGCCTGCTATTGGCTTGGCGCATTGGGCCGCCAAGTTTGTGCCACAAGTTGCGAACGCTGCGGCCGAAGACAAGACGTTCTGCTTTTGGTTGCACCATGGGTTGCGCACTCGGCTGCCGAACAATAAAATCCCATTATCGGCTGCACTGTATGGACATGTTTCGCGATCGGCGGCTGAATAGGAACGACCTGCTATTTGGCGCAGGGCATGACTCGGCTTGCCTTTGGTTGCGCTATAATTTCAGAATTCGGCCGCCGAACATGCAACGGCCTGGTTTGGTCTGCGCCGTGAAATGTGCACTCGACGATTCAAATCAAAAACTGCCTACTGGCTTGCTATTGGCTTCGCCGTAGGATGCACACTTCACTGCCGAAAACAGCCTGGCCTGTAATTGGTTGTGACATACGTTGCCTTATCGGCGGCCAAACTCAACCTGGCCTGCTGACGGGTGCGACCAGCCCACTTATTCAGTAAGCCAACCTCGAAAAAAAGTAGATCGGGCGACGCCCGACACAACCATCTGAAGTGCGCTCGCATGGGAGCAACGCTGGGGCGCGCCATCCTTCAGAGAAAGGGTGATCATTACGGTGCGACTTACGCTTGTCGTTCAGTCCACGAGCATATGAAGACCCCCAATCACCTGTCAATTGTCGGTGCGCGTCCTGAACCATTAGGTTTGCGCTCATGTGGGTCAGCGGTTGCATCCCTTGCCCGGATTCTCGGAGCCCTCCCCCTGTTGCGGGCTCGCCACGGCAATCCGTCAGGAGTGCAGCTGTGGCCAAGTGCGTGTGGTACGCTGCGGACTCCATGCTGCAAAGGCTCTTTCTGGGAGACGGGAGAGAGGAAGTGTTGCTCGCAGCCTCACCCAATCGATGCAGGCGCTAACCCAGTATAAAAGCTGCGCTCCCGCGCCCCGGTGTAACAGTGTGCGGCGCCACTGCTTCCTCCACATCGCAGCGCCAACGGAGTTCTTAGAACAGCGGGGCATGCCGCCACACCGGTAGTATATATATATATATATATATACATACATATAGGTTATCCTGCAAGTGTGGCCGAATTACCGCAGCAACATTCCCTGGAAAACATGGCGTCGCATACACTGGCGACAGAGCAGGCAGCCCACAGTGTACGGCGACACTTCGTCCGTCACAGGGTGCCGCCGCCGCAGGGCAGGGGGGGGGGGGGGGGGGCAAGGCGCGAGCTTAGCGGCGATGGCCCGGGCGCTCCCGCCGATTGGGACAAGCTGGTGCCTGCAGAGGGAGGCTGCGGGTGGAGCAGCAGCAGGCAGGAGGCGACGAGAATCGTGAGGACGACGACGCCGACCCTGTGTGCGCCTGTTGTCGTTCTCTCCCTTCCTCTGTCCTTCTCTCTGTCTTCCTCTCTCTCTCTCTCTCTCTTTCTCCCTCTCCAAATTGTTTGATTTCTTTCTATACCACTCGTCTACCTCACACTCCCCCAATACACATTTACACACCGCCTGCTCCAGGTGGAGGTGATCCGCCACCGTGCCGCTGGGCATGGAAGGCGTGGGCGTGGCCTCAGGTCCCTTGCTCCATTCCTTGCGCCTCCATCCTCGATCCTGCGGATTCTTGAGGGGCTCGGACCACTTCCCGCATGGCTTTGGAGGGCCCACGAGGGCCCCAGGACGGCCAAGAGGGCCGCACGGGACTTCCAAGACGGTCCAAAAGGGCCCCGAGTCGCCGAACCATCGCTCCAAGACGCCCAAGGCGGCCTTAGGACGGCCCAAGAGGCCTCGAAGACGCTCCCAGAAGTCTCCAAGAAGTGCCCAGGAGGGCCCCAAGAAACCAAAATCGCTGATTGTCCTTCGACGTTTGTCGACTTTGGGGGTTCTCGCGTTTTCGTTTTCCCGACGCTTCAAGGTGGCCCAAGAGGCCCCCAAGATCGCCCCAACATGGCCCAAGTGGCCCACAGGACGGCCCAAGAGGGCCCCCAGACAGGCCAATAGGGTCCCAAGACGGGCCGGCCCTAAGAAAGGCCCAAGCGGGGGACCACGAACGAAAACGCCGAGCCTTTCGCCTCAAGGGGGCCCCAGGAGGCCCCACGAGGCCACCAACAGGCCACCAAGAGGCCCAACAGAGGCCCCACGACGGACCCCCAGATGCCTCAAGTCTGCCTCCAAGAGACCCCCGAGAGGCATCCCACGAGCTCCCAACCAACGTCCACTAACCCTCTGTCGTCGTCGTCGTAGTCGCCGCCGTCGTCGTGGTCGTCGTTGTCGTCGTCGTCGTCGTCGTCTCCTCTTCCGCCCCATGTTCTATTCTGGGTCCCCTCCAAGACAGTCCAAGACGATTCCAAGACGGCCCGAGAGGATCCCGAGACGGCCAAAAGGCCACTGTGAGGGCCCCAGGAGGGGCCTGAGAGAACGACCATGAACTGAAGATGCCAGCCTTCTGCCCCGAGAAGGGGCCAGTATGCTTCCAGAGGCCACCGAGAACCTAAAGAAGGCTCCAAGAAGTCCCCATAAGCCCCAGAACGGTTCGAATAAACCCAAAGATGCCCAAGGCGCCTCACAACGGCCCCCAAGAAGCTTCAGAACTGCTCCCAAGATGTCCCCCAGTGGCCTACCTCGACGCTCAAGCAGCATGTAAACCAAGCAAGTGCAGGCCTAGTACCACTTGAGAGATGCAGGCTGCATGCTGTCAGAAGTATTTCACTGGTACCGCTTGAAACACGCAGAAGACATGCCCTAAGTGGTATTTTGTCGGTGCCACTTGGGGCATGCAAGCAACATGCATGCAAGATCGTGTTACTTGGGGCGTAGCATTTCAGGTGCACAGTCGGTATGACTCACGTGGCACTTGCCTAAACTGATGTGCAGCAGTCTCACAAAGTGCTTCCAGTGGAGGCCCAAGATAGCTCCCTGACGGCCAAAGATGCCTCCAAGACGCCCCAAGAGGCCTCCAAGAGTACTCCCAAGAGGGCCTCAATAGGCAAACATGATTGCTTGTCCTCAGGTTTTGAAGGTGTCTGGCCTTCTCTCCTTTTCAACACTCCAACGCTTCAAGACGGCCCAAGAGGCCCCAAATGAGGCCACCAGACACCCCAAGAGGCCCCCAGGAGGCCCCCAAGACGGCCTAAAACGCCCCAAGACGGCCCAAGAAGCGCCCAAGACGGCCCAAGAGGGCCCCAACATGGCCCCAAGAAGGGCGCAAGAGGGGGACCAAGACTCGAAACTTCGAATCTTCCGCCTTAACAGAGCACCAGGAGGTTCCAAGAGTCGATCTGCCCCAAGAAGCCCCCAAGAGGCCCCGAAAGGCCCCAAGACAGTCCCCCAAATACTTCAAAACTGTTTCCAAGAGGCCCACGAGATGTCTCGCACGAGATCCCCACGAGATCCCAACGAACGTCCACGAAGCCTCAGACCCACAACCCAGGCACGGTGGCGGGATGGGCCGAAGGTCATTAGATCCGCCGCCCCCTGTTGATTCATCACAGGGGTGCCCGGCGTGCTAGACCCTTTCGCTTTTGGTTTTGGTTCTGTTCCCCCAAAAACTCCTCCTGGGGTTTCGGCCCGTCCCGCCGGAGATGCGTAACAGGTGGTTGCAAAGGGTTTTTCGGCTCCAGACGGCTCCAAGATGGCCAAGATGGCCCAAGATGGTCTCCAGGTTCGCCCAAGATGGTCCAAGATGGCCTCCAAGACGGCCCATGAGAGTCCAAGATGCCTCCAAGTTCGTACAAGAAACCTCTCAGAAGGCCCAAGACGGCCCCAGAGGCCTCCAAGAGGCCTCCAAGACCAAGTGGCCTCCAAGAGGTAGGTCCTCCACGAGAGCCCGAAGAGGTCAAAATCAATGTTTTCCGTAGGTCTTTGAAGGATTTGGGCTTTTGTTCTGTTCGAGCCTTCCGACGGCTGGCTCACGACGGCCCAAGGAGCCCGAAAGATCGCCCCCAGAGCGCCCAAGATGCCTCCAAGATAGCCCTATGACGGCCCAAGAGGCCCCCAAGACGGTCCCAAGAGGGCGCCAAGACGGCTCCGGAGGCCTCCAAGACGCCCAAGACGGTCTCCAAGACGGCCAAGATGGCATCCAAGATGCTTCCACCACGGTCAAGATGAGCTTCAAGACGGCCAAGATCGTCGCTAAGACGGCCAAGATGGCCCAAGATGGGCCCGAGAGGTTCCCAGATTGCCCCAGAGGAATCCAAGAGGTGCTCCAGGAAGGCCTGAGGGAGCCAACATCTTCAATTTCCCGTGGGTTTTTGAAGGATGTTTGTTTTTCCTTGGTTGTGGTGTTCCGACCGCCTAAGACGGCCCAAGGAGTCCCAAAAGTTGTCCCAGTGGCCTCCCAGATGGCGGCCCAAGAGGCCTTCAAGCCAGCCCCAAGAGGGCCCAAAGACGGCCCAAGAGGCTTCAAAAACGGCCAAGATGGTCTCCAAGATACCTAAAGACTGCCAAGATGACCTCCAAGACGACCAAGATGGCATCGAAAACGGCAGAAAGATCCCCAAGAGAACCGAAGGTGGCCCAAGAGGCGCCGAAGATGCCTCCAAGACAGCCCAAGATGCCTCCAAGACGTCCTCCAGGAAGGCCCGAAGAAGCCCAAATCAATGATTTGTCCTTAGGTGGTTGAAATATTTTCGCCTCAAGTGGTACTTGTTCGATCCAGGTGGGGCATATAACCTATGTGTCCGCTGTCCCCTGTTGATTCATCACAGGGGTGCCTGGCATGCTAAACCCTTTCGCTTTTGGTTTTGGTTCTTTCCCCAAAAGAACTCCGATTGGGGCTTCTGCCCGTCCCGCCGGCCACCCGAAAGGCCCGGAAACGACCTCAACGTCCCACCCAAATCCTCCAAGACGGCTCAAGATGGCCTCTAAGATGGTCACGCTGGCCCAGGATGGCCTCCAAGATGGCCTCCAAGTCCGCCCAAGATGGTCCAAGATGTCCCCAAGATGGCCCAAGAGTCCAAGATGCCTTCAAGTTCGTCCAAGAAGCCTCCAAGACGGCCCAAGATGGCTCCAAGATGGCCTAAGACTGCCCAAGAGGGCCCCAAGAGGCCTCCAAGAGCTCCATCAGGAAGGCCCGAAGAGGCCAAAATCATTGATCTTCCGTCAGTGTTTGAAGGACTTGGGCATTTTCATCTTTTCAGCTCTCCGACGGCCCAAGACGGCCCAAGAGGCCCCCAAACATCGCCCCAAGAGCGCCCAAGAGGCCTCCAAGATGGCCCCATGACAGGCCAAGAGGCCCCCAAGAGGGCCCCAACAAGACCCCAAGACGGCCCAAGAGGCCCCCAAGACGCCCAAGATGGCCTCCAAGACGGCCAAGATGGCCTCCAATATGCCTCCAAGATGGCCAAGAAGGCCTCCAAGACGGCGAAGATGGCCCCAAGATGCACCCAAGATGTCCCGAGATGGCCTGAAGATGGCCTGAGACTGTCCAATAGGCCCGCCAGAGGCCTCCAAGACGGCCGAAGACCCCTCCAAGACGTCCTCCAGGAGGCCCGAAAGCTCGGAAACCACCTGGTCCGACATCTCGCCCAACTCCATGTTCCCCGAAGGCGTTCGAAACCCACTCGGGGAACGCGTGGCCGATAGCTTGGCCAAGCTCAAACCCAACTTCTGGCCACGCAGGCGCTTCCAAGAAGGCAGCGATGGGGCGGCGGTGCTTCGCCGTAGGCGTCTTCGATACGATTGCAATGGGGAACCAAGCGGCGGCCGAGGGAGGCAGACGTCCTCGAACGCCAACACCTCGGAGTCGATGTTCGCCTCGGCGACGTCGTTGATGACGACCCCCACCTTCCAAGAACGCAACGTGCTGTTCACACGAGCGGAACGAAAGCGGCAGCAGCAGCAGCAGCGGCACTGGCAGAGACGCTGAGGCCGCAGACCGCGGCGCCGAGCCCGCAGTGTGGGGCAGGGGTGCCGCAGCATGTCTGACGCTCTTGCTGCGTCTGGCTCTTCTCCAACCCTCCCTGTCTTCTTTGTCACTCCTGACAGGGGATATGTCGACCCCTATCCCACGCTTCGCGGGGCTTTTAGCTGGACCAAGCAGCTGGCGCTCAGCCCTGGGATATGCACCATGGGGGGGGCGTCCATCTTCGTTAGGGGTGCGTCCGAATAGCCCCCTTGGGTGTATCCCAAGGTTCTCCCTTTCGCCTGAACGGCCAATCGCTTCCGGCAGAACTCGGAGATCGGGGGGGGGGGGGGGAACATCGCCTGCGCACTTCGCCTGTTCTCTCTCTGCTGCGCCGCGCGCCCCCGCCCGCTGCCACTGCTGCCGCCGCCGGTCGCCGCTGCTGCTGCTGCCCTGCGCCGGGCTCGCCACTCGGGGGCGCGCGAACACGGATTAGCCATCCAGGGATTTGGCGCGCGGCCACCAAATCCATGGATCGGAGGAGGTGCGCTCTCCAACATGCGGCCGGTGCCGCCTCGCTCGGCGGCGGAGATCCGCGATGTCCCACGGAAGCGGGCCCCGTCGCTAAAATCCACGCCTCCTCACTCCAGGTCCGCGATCGCCGGGGCCACCCTCCTCCCCGCGGATCGGCGCCCCACGGAGGAGGAGGAGGAGGAGGAGGAGGAGGAGGAGGAGGGAGGAGGAGGAGGAGGAGGATGAGGAGGAGGAGGAGGAGGAGGAGGGAGGAGGAGGAGGAGGAGGAGGAGGAGGAGGAGGAGGAGGAGGAGGAGGAGGAGGAGGAGGAGGAGGAGGAGGAGGAGGAGGAGGAGGAGGTGGACCTCCACCAGCGGCCGCCGCCCACGCGTTGTGGTCCCCCCATCCACGCCCCGCTCTGGGCGCGCGCCTCTCACGCGGATATCGCGCCCTCGGGGGAGCTCCACCCGCGGCCTCCGAGGGCGCGCCCGCACGCGGCCCCCTCCCGCCGGATCGGGGCACACCCCCGCGGCAGCTCGTGCCACGAGCTCGAGCTGCGGCCGCGGCGGGGGCGGCCGCATACCGAAACGCAGCGATTCGGCACACGCACACACACACACACACACACACACGCGCACACACACACACACACACACACACACGCACACACACACAAACGCACCCCTAGCTCGGATCTATCCCCATAAAGAGCTCCGCCTACAACCCCAGTGAACTTTCCCTGCCTCAGTCCGGCCCGCCCCTCACGCGCACGGTGCCCCACATAGAATTCGAACTAGGCCCACATGAGCACGTCCGTATACCGACTCGTCTCCGCCTCAACCTGGCGCACCCCTTACGCGGACCGTGCCCCATGAAGAGCTCCACCTGCGGCCACAGGGAGCACGTCTGTTTACTGTCCCGCCTCATTTCGGCACGCCACTCACGCGGACCGTGCTCACAGGGAGTCTCCAATCCCAAGTCTCAATTCGGAAATCACGCAAATCGTGCTCCATGAGGGTGCTCCATCTCTGCGCATCCTTCCGTGCGCGGTATCTGAGAGGGCCGCTTCTTTCGCTGCATGCAGCTGCGCGCGGTTGGGCGCCTTGCCAGGCTAATCTCCCGATGCTCCACAGCACGGGTACTTGTACAACACACAACATATACTCCCGCAAGACATTGGTCCCTTCTCCACTCCATTAGAAATCGATATCCTTGCCGCAAGGTGTTATATTCGAATAGCCTTGAGCAGCTGCATGCAAGAGACGCTGCGAACTATGACTCGTGCGCTTGCGGGGCGCTTGTTTGCTGAGACGCTGCGAATATGCCTAGAATGAGGGCTGGATGGAGTCGCATCGCTAGTGCGCGACTGGTGCACGCATGGAAATCCCACCAGCCCTCTGGGCGGAGGTAGTTGAGCAGGTCTCCTCTTCCATTTTCCCCTGCGTCCCCTTCGGGGAGGGGCTTATCACTGCTCCTTACTATATTACGCCCCCTCCCCCACCAGACCGGCGACAAATCAGGGCCAATGATCCCCCCCATACCATCCCTGTCGAAAGACCATGCAAGATGCACTCTGCGGCAAAAAGTAATGGGCTCACCATAATTTCTGCCGCAGAGTAGGGGCTCCACCGAACGCCCCGGTGGCACCGCCCGCATGGCGTACCCGCACCCAGCTTGGAACATCCCTTGCACCTTTCGTGGCCCCATAGGGGGCTCCACCGAAGGCCCCAGTGGCACAGTCCGCATGGCGCACCCGCGCACGACTCGGCACACCCCTCACGAGCTTCTGGGCCCAGTAAAGGGCACCTCCGAGGGCCCCAGAGGCACACTCCGCACGGCGCCCCCGCGCACGATCCGGCACACCCCTCACTCGTTCCGTGGCCCCGTAGCGCGCTGCACCCAAAGCCCCAGTGGCACAGTCCGCATGGCCTACACGCGTGCCCCACTCGGCACGCCCCGCACACCTGTGGGGAGCTCCACCGAGGGGCATGCCGGAGCTCCACCGAACGCCCCAGCGGCACAGCCCGCATGGCGTGCCCGCATCCGATTCGGCACACCCCTCACACGCTTCGTGGCCCCATAGGGAGCTCCACCGAGGGCCCCACCAGCACAGTCCGCATGGCGTATGTACCCGCATTCGACTCGACGCACCCCTCACACGTTTCGCGCATGGCGCACTCGCGCACGCTTCGGCACACCTCTCGCACGATTCGTGGCCCCATAGGGCGCTCCACCGAAGGCCCCAGCGACGCAGTCCGCATGGCTTACCCGCACCCGATCCGACACGCCGCTCACACGTTTCGCGGCCCCATGGTGAGCTACACCGAAGGCCCCAGTAGCACAGTCCGCATGGCGTACCCCCCCCCCACACACACACACACACACACACACACACACACACACACACACACACACACACACACACACACACACACACACACACACACACACACACACAAACACACACACACACACACACACACACACACACGTCGGCACAGCCCTCATACGTTTCGTGGCCCCATCAGGAGCTCCACCGAACACGACTCTCACAACTGCTGTATGTATAATTACACATGGTTGGGTCCTTCGCAAAGGTATTTCTTTGACTGGGACGGCGGGGGTGCCAGCATATGGCCTGCTGTGCGCAGGGCCACCATCCCTGCCAACAAAAGATACACAAACTGCACTTCGCGGTAAAACTTGGATCATGCGGGGGCACCGCGCGATCACTTCCCATGAGGTCTTGACACGGACGGCGGGGGTGTTGGCGTAGTGCAGTGCTTGCTATGTGCAGGCTCACCAGACATCAGTATTGCAGCTCCGCCGCGCCCTGGCACTGATCTTCGACAAGGATGGCGGGGGCCGACATGTTTCCGGGTGTGCGCGGGGCGCACCTGGCACTCTCTGCGCGTGCCCCGAACGTGGCACAATTGGCGTGGCTGCAGCATGCATGCGACACACTTGGCGCACGTTTGGCGGCGCGCACAAGGGGGTGGATGGAGGGGGGAGGGCTTCTCAGAAGGAGGCTGCTTCTTAGAAGGCGCCGGCCTTTACATCTATAGGTAAGGCCCGCGCCTTCTAAGAAGCAGAGGTCCTTCTAAGAAGCCCTCCCCCCTCCCATCATAAAACTGGGCTAGGATCGGGATAAATCGCTCCAGAGCGTTCCGGAGCGCTCTCAGAGCATTCCGGAACGCTCTGGAGCGGCCGCGGCGCCCAATACATCCTCCTAACCCGCCGATCCTCAGAGATTTCGAGTCATCCCGATCCGATTTTGTCCCGATCTTCGCGTCGTTTTAGGCCCCACCCCCCTCTGCGCGTGGCCGACACGTGGAGCACCTGGCGCATCTGGCGCAGCAGGCTTGCCTGGCACGCCTGGGCCATGGGGGCGCCCGGCGTGGCCGGTGCGCGCGGCGCGACGGGCACGCGCGGCGCACCCCGCGGCAGCGTCGGGCACCGGGTCTGCCTTGGTTCCGAGCAGCTGCCCATGCACAGACGACGCGCACCGGCAGCTGCCCGTCCAGCAGCTGCCCATCCCAGCAGCTGCCCCAGCGGCTGGAGCGCGCGGCACGCCTGGCGCACTCGGAGCACGTGGCGCATCTGGGCGCACCAGGCGTGCCTGGCACGCTCAGGGCCCCGGGGGTGCCTGGCGCGCGTGGCGCCCCTGGCACGCGTGGAGCACCTCGCCCAGGCGTCGCGCACCTGGGGTCGGCTTTGGTTCACAGTAGCCGTCCATCCAAAGACGACCGCTGAACATGCTCAGGCTCGGGTGTTACTTATGTGTTGGGAGGGCGGGTGGGAGCGAGCCACGCAGTTTGCGTCTGGGAGAAGTGTCTTGATCACCGTTCTTCATTAAAATACACCCGCCCCCACCCAGTCGACGGCCAACCCGGAACCATGCCGACTCCATGCGGGTCCGCCCCCCACCATCCCAACCCGATGCCCCCCCCCCCCACACACACCATCCCCATCAAAAACCAATGCAAAATACACTTTGGGGCATAGTCTTGGGTTTTGTTCGTGGGGCCCGCGAGCACTTTGTATTGTTTTTGACAGGGGCGGCGGGGGTGTCAGCATATTCCCTGCTGCGCGCAGGGCTACCATCCCTGACACAAGAACAGTACAACATGCACCTCGCGGTTAAATCTGGATCATGCGCGGCCATCCCGCGATCACTGCCAAATGGCTTTTGACAGGGACGGCGGGGGTGGTGGCGCGTGGCCTGCTTTGCGCAGGCCCACCAGACACAATGACGGGCATTGGTTTGCGACAAGGATGGCGGGGGCCGACATGTTTCCCGATGTGTGCTGTCACGTGCGCAGGCGCACCTGACGCACTCTGCACGTGCCCCGAACGTGGCGCACCTGGCGCGGTTGGAGTGTGCGGCACGCCTGGCGCACTCGGAGCACGTGGCGCATCGGGGCGCACCAGGAGTGCCTGGCACGCTCGGGCCCCAGGGGTGCCTGGCGCGCGTGGCGCCCCTGGCACGCGTGGCGCACCTTGCCCAGGCGTCGCGCACCTGGGGTCGGCTTTGGTTCACAGTAGCTGTCCATCCAAAGACGACCGCTGAACATGCTTAGGCTCGGGTGTTACTTATGTGTTGGGCGGGCGGGTGGGAAAGAGCCTAATCTACACCCCGCCCCCACCAGGTCGGTTGCCAACCTGGAACCATGCCGACTCCATGCCGGCCCGCCCCCACCATCCCTGTCAAGAAACAGTACAAGCCGCACTCTGCGTCCACATCGGGAGCATGCGCGCGCGGCCAGCCCGATGCAACCCCACCCACCATTCCTATCAAAAACCAATGCAAGATACACTTTGGGGCATAGTCTTGGGTTTTGTTCGTGGGGCCCGCGAACACTTTGTATTGTTTTTGACAGGGGCGGCGGGGGTGTCAGCATATTCCCTGCTGCGCGCAGGGCCACCATCCCTAACGCAAGAACAGTACAACATGCACCTCGCGGTTAAATCTGGATCATGCGCGGCCATCCCGCGATCACTGCCAAATGGCTTTTGACAGGGACGGCGGGGGTGGTGGCGCGCGGCCTGCTGTTCGCAGGCCCACCAGACACAATGACGGGCATTGGTTTGCGACAAGGATGGCGGGGGCCGACATGTTTCCCGATGTGTGCTGTCACGTGCGCAGGCGCACCTGACGCACTCTGCACGTGCCCCGAACGCGGCGCACCTGGCGCGGCTGGAGTGTGCGGCACGCCTGGCGCACTCGGAGCACGTGGCGCATCTGGGCGCACCAGGCGAGCTTGGCACGCTCAGGCCCCAGGGGTGCCTAGCGCGCGTGGCGCCCCTGGCACGCGTGGCGCACCTCGCCCAGGCGTCGCGCACCCGGGGTCGGCCCCGGCACCCACTAATTGTCCATCCAATGACGACCGCTGAACATGCTCAGGCTCGGGTGTTACTTATGTGTCGGGAGGGCGGGTGGGAGTGAGCTAAACGGCTTGCTAGCGGGTGGGTAACTTGATCACTGCTCGTTATTCATATACACCCCCTCCCGCATGCGACTAGGAGCCAACCAGGAGCAATGCGGGCACCCCCCCACCATCCCTTGTAAAAACACAATACAAAACACTCGGCCTCCAAATTCGGAGCATACGCAGCGAACCCGATGCGGCCTCCCCCCACCATCCCTGTCAAAAAACAATATAGAGTACACTTGGCGGCGGCGGCGGCGGCTGCGGCTGCGGCGGGGCAGCGGCTGCGGCGGCGGCGGCGGGGGCGGCGGTGGCGGTGGCGGCGGGGGCGGCCGCGGCGGCGGCGGCGGAGGCGGTGGCGGAAGCGGCGGCGGCAGCGGTGGCGGCAGCGGCTGCGGCGGCAGCGGCAGCGGCGGCGGCGATTCGGCAGCGGGGGCGGCGGCGGAGGCGGCGGCGGCGGCGGCGGCGGACAGCGGCGGCGGCGGCGGCAGCGGCGGCGGGCGGCGGCGGCGGAGGCGGCGGCGGCGGCGGATTCGCCCCCAGTAGCTGCCCATCCAAAGACGACTGCTGAATATGCTGCGGCTCGGGCCAGGCTCGGGTCCTACGCATGTGTTGGGAGGGCGGGTGGGAGTGAGCGAGACGGCTTGCGGGCGGGGAGGGAGTTTTGACCCCTCCCCCTACCCCCTCCCCTGGACCTGGACGGGGCGCCACGTGGGTAGTTGGAGCGCATTTGTTGGCCCCAGACGGTTCCAAGAGGGCCTCGGAGAGCCCAAAATTACTTTCAACATGGACCAATATGCCTCACGATAACTTCCAAAATGTCACAAGAGACCTCACCAATCGCCCTAAGACGGCCCTACGTGGCCGCGACGCCGAGGCCATCAAGCGGCCCAATCCTTCAAACACCTGAGTAGCATCAAGGTGTTTTACCTTCTCGCCTTTTTGCTTTCGACCGCCCTTCGCATATTGATTTGGCTCCAAGAAAGCCTGAGAGAGCCCCAGGAGCCGAAGAGGGCCCCCAAATGGCCCCAAGAGCGCCCAGGAGTGCTCCAAGAGCGCCCCAATAGGCGAGTTTAGGGGCTCTAGAGGAGCGAATCAAACTAGGTTGAGTACCCCCCCTTCCTTGATCGATCTCCTCCAAGGTGGCCCCCGAGGCTCACAAGAGGGTCCCAAGAGGCGCTCATGAGGCTCCCTTGATGCCCCAGAAAGGTGCCCCAGATTCTCCCAAGGCACCCCGAAGAGGCCTCAACAGGCTCCCCCGAGGCACCCAACACGCGCCACAAGGCCCTAACAACGCTCCACGAGAACGCCGGGAAACTCTCAAAGATATCAAAAGAGACTCCGAGGGGCATCCAAGAGGAACCTGGCCTTTCTGTTCGCCCTCCTCCTCCTCCTCCGCCTCCTCCTCTTCCACATCCGCCGATTCCTTTTCCTCCTCTTCCCTCCTCCCTCCTCCCGCCGCACCTCATCCAACTCCCCCTCCCCCTCCCCCTCCTCATTCTTCTCCTCCTCCTCCTCCTCCTCCTCCTCCTCTCCTTCTCTCCATCATCATCATCATCATCATCATCATCATCATCATCATCATCATCATCATCATCATCATCATCATCATCATCATCATCATCATCATCATCATCATCATCATCATCATCATCATCCCCGCCTCTTACTCCGATTCATCTTCATCCTCTCCCTCTTGAGGTCTGACGGCTGCCCCGGCCCTTTATTCCATTGCATGTTCCTTCACATCCATGATCACGGCAACTCACCTGGGCAGTGTTTCTAGATGGGCTGCTGAGGCTACGCGAAGCGTCTGGAATGCCACAAGTCCTCTGGGCGTGAGTGGTTTACGTAATGCGTTTCACATTCAAGCCCCACTTCTGCCGCGTCGAGCAGGGGTTGATCACTGTTCCATACTAATATACCCCCCCTCTCCCTACTCTCCCCCCCCCTGGACCTGGACGGTGGGATTCGCGGCCCGTTGGAGCGTCCAAGATGGCCTCGCCGAGAAAGGAGCAATCATTGATTTGTTTGAAATGTTGGGCCAAATTGGGCCTCCTGGGGGGTGGACCCTAATTTAGTGTCCCCCCCCTTTCTCTGATCGAGCTCCTCCAATCTGGCCCCAAGATGGCCCCCAAGGCTCCCACAAGTGCCCCAAGAGGCGCCCAGGAAGCCACTCCCAGGAGACTCCCAAGAGGTCCCAAGAGGCAACAGACATCCGAAGAGGCTCCGAGAGGCATCCAAAAGGCCTCTGGCCTTTCTGCTCGCCCCCCTCCTCCTCCTCCTCTTCCTCCTCCTCCTCCTCCTCGTCGTCCTCCTCCTCTTCCCCATCCGCCTGTTCCCCCCCTTCCCTCCTCCCTCCGTCCTCCTCCTCATCCCTATCTCCCTCCCCCTCCCCTTCCCCTGCTCTTCCTCATCCGATTCCTCCTCCATCCTCCCTCTTAGGGCAGGACGGCTCCCCCAGCCCTGTCTTCCACTGCGTGCTCCTCCACATCCCAGACCAGGGCAACTCGCCTGGGCATCGTTTCTGGATGGGCTAGTGGGGTGTACGCGAAGCGTCTAGAATGCGCCACCCCCCTGGGTGTGATTAGAGAGCACGCATGCAAACTTCGCCGACCCTTTGGGGGTAGCATCCTATGAGAAGCTTGTCTCTTCCGATGGCCCTCCCAACACCACCGCTCGAATACCCAATTGCGCTCATCTTTAAAAAAGTGAGGCGGGAGGGTCTCTGCCAACGGGGATAACGCGGCTCAATCGGGACGCAAGCGGCCCAAACGAACCCCAAAAGGCCCAAGGAGAGCCCCCAAGAGGCACCAAGAAGCGCACGCGATACCCCAAGAGGCCAGATCTCCTGAATCGCCAAATCTTGTTTTTGTTTTGAAACGCAGTGCATGGCCCAGCCGCAGCCTCAAACAGACGAAAGTGATCGGCGGGTGTCGCGTCAGCTTGAGGAACCCAAGGCGGACGCTCGTGGACGCGGCAGGCCCAACTAAGTGTAGGTCGGGCATGTCCCCCTGCAGTCGGATTCTGGTAGAGAGAAAAACAACAACTATTACAATAATTGTCGAAAAATAATGAGCACATCGTCCACGTACAATTTTTTGACTATTTTTGAACATTCCCCCTCTACAAGGACGTGCCCGACTTAAAAACCAAGCGCAACCCTGCATACACGCAGACCACCGTGGAGCAGGACACACTCGCGCACTGGGATCTCTCAACCAGGAATGTGCAACACTGGGCCGCCTTGAGCCCCTCG